GGACAGTGACATACACGGTCATGGGGACATCCATGGTCATGGGATGTGACACGAGGACACGGCGTGGGGACACGTGACATACACGGTCATGGGGACATCCATGGTCATGGGACGGGTCCGAGGCCGAGGCCGAAGGCTCCTACCTTGGGCGAGCAGAAGAGCTGTGGGGAGAGGAGAGGGACAGCGGTGACCCCAGTGACCCCGTGGTGACCCCGTGACCCTCAGTGTCCCCTCAGTGTCCCCTCAGTGTCCCCGCACTGTCCCCGTACCCGAGATGCCACGCTTGAGCCAGCGCGGTGTCCCCAGCTCGATGAAGAAATTCTCCTTCTTCTCGTACTCCTCGTCATCCACGATCTTCACCTGCAGCGTCTTCCTGGGGCGGGACACGGGCCACCCTCAGCGTCAGTGTCATTGTCATTGTCATCATCAATGTCATCGTCAACATCATCGTCAACATTGTCATCATCATCGTCATCATCATYATCAATTTCATCAACATCATCCATTGTCATTGTCATCATCGTCAACCATTCATCACCATCGTCATCGTCAACATTGACGTCATCAATGTCATCATCATTCATCATCAATGTCAACGTCATCACCATCATCTTCTATTGTCCATCATCATCATCGTTGACCTCATCATCAGCCATCTCCATCCATCTCCATCCATCACCATCATCATCATCATCATCATCAATTTCATCATCCATCGTCATTCATCATCATCATTGTCACCATCATCTTCCATTGTCCATCGATATCATCAAACATCATCATTGTCCATCTCCATCCACCATCATCATCATCATCATCATCATCATCATCATCATCATCATCATCATTATTATCATCCATCTCCATCCATTATCTATCATCAGCCATCTCTATCCAGCCATCCGTCATCATCATCATCATCCATTCTTCCTCTTCCACCTCCATCCATCCATCTGTTCGTCCGTCCATCCGTCCATCCATCCATCCCTGTGTCCTCTTCCTCCTTCCCTTCCATCCGTCCATGGTCCATCCACCCATCCTCTTCCTCATCCATCCATGCTCTTCCTCATCCACCCATCCTCTTCCTCATCCATCCATCCATCCATCCATCCATCCATCCATCCATCCATCCATCCATCCATCCATCCATCCATCCATCCTTGTATCCTCTTCTTCCTTCACTTCCATTCATCCATGGTCAAGCCACCCATCCTCTTCCTCATCCACCCATCCTCTTCCTCATCCACCCATCCTCTTCCTCATCCACCCATCCTCTTCCTCATCCACC